AGGGGGGAGGGAGGGGGTCCCAGAAGTCTGTCGGCTGCTCCTCCAAGTTGCCTCGAGGCTCCGAGCTGCGAACAGCAGTCAGACATTGGTCTCCAAAGTCGGTCTGGTGTTCGCTGTGTCTCTTCTATCCTCTACCTGTCTCCTATCATCCTCTGCTGTCTATTGTGTCTCTTCTATCGTCTACCTGTCTCCTGTCCTCCTCTGTCTGCTTTCTATTGTGTCTCTTCTATCCCCTACCTGTCTCCTGTCTCCTCTGTCTGCTGTCTATTGTGTCTCTTCTATCCCCTACCTGTCTGCTGTCCTCCTCTGTCTGCTGTCTATTGTGTCTCTTCTATCCCCTACCTGTCTCCTGTCTCCTCTGTCTGCTGTCTATTGTGTCTCTTCTATCCCCTACCTATCTCCTATCCTCCTCTGTCTGCTGTCTATTGTGTCTCTTCTATCCCCTACCTGTCTCCTGTCCTCCTCTGTCTGCTGTCTATTGTGTCTCTTCTATCCCCTACCTGTCTCCTGTCCTCCGCTGTCTGCTATTGTGTCTCTTCTATCCTCTACCTGTCTCCTGTCCTCTTCTGCTGTCTATTGTGTCTCTTCTATCCCCTACCTGTCTCCTGTCCTCTGTTTATTGTGTCTCTTCTATCCCCTACCTGTCTCCTGTCCTCTGTTTATTGTGTCTTTTCTATCCCCTACCTGTCTGCTGTTTATTGTGTCTTTTCTATCCCCTACCTGTCTCCTGTCCTCCTCTGTCTGCTGTCTATTGTGTCTCTTCTATCCCCTACCTGTCTCCTGTCCTCTGTCTGCTGTCTATTGTGTCTCTTCTATCCTCTACCTGTCTCCTATCCTCCTCTGTCTGCTGTCTATTGTGTCTCTTCTATCTCCTACCTGTCTCCTGTCCTCCTCTGTCTGCTGTCTATTGTGTCTCTTCTATCCTCCATCCTTTATTGTCCACTTTTATGTCTCCTATCCTCTATTTTATCCTTACTGTCCCTTTTCTTCTGTCCTTGTCGCTTTGTTTTTGTGTTCGGTGTTGTTTGTTGTCGGGGCCTTAAGGCAACCCGGGAATGGGGGGGGGGGGTCGGGGGAGCTTCGGCTGACAGACCTGGGACCAGGCGGGCCCTCGGGAGGACTAGTTACACACGAGGGTACAGGGAACCGAGGGTACGGGGCCCGAGGGCACGAAAAACTTCTGTGCCGTCATCTTAGGTGACTTAAAGGCACCTGATATAATGACAAACATTGTAACCTTTTAGGTTATAGATAGACCAATTTCTTCTTTTCAATTTTCGCTGTGCTTTTCCCAATTTTTTTTTCAATTTCTGTAGGATTATATCCAACATTAAAGTATGGCATTCATAGGTTGATAAATTATTCAAATATAACTAGAAATATTTTAATTGTTAACAGATAGATCAATTTCTTCAAATTTTGCTGTTTCCCCTTTTTTCAATTTCTGTAGGATTCATACTAGGTAGATAAAGATATTCAAATATAACGAGTTGTTTTTTAATGTTAACATAAGAAACAAAAATGCCGCCCTCACATCAGGTGGAGTTTTCTCCGCTGTCTGCTTGTAGGTCGGCCATTTTTCCTGACTGGGGAGACGGAAGACTGAAGGGGTCTGGTTTCCGCCGGGTTTGCTTCAGTTTCTGTCAACTTCTTTTTGAAACTTCAAAGTACATTAGAAACTAAATACACTTTTGTGTTTTTGTTCAATCCTGCAGACTGCTTTATCTTCTGTTATATACATGTACTACATAATCCAAGATACAGTTTTCTAGTGTACTCTGTATGCACTTCGTGGAACACTTCATGTAGTACTGTACGGGCTTGTACTGTTTTGTATTTCAACATCCTGATTGTACACATGGTCTAAATGTAATACCATTTCACATACATAACTATTCTGTACATGTACTAAAATTACGAATACTCCTTTGTGCAGTTGGCAATGTTTGTCAAACTTTTGTAATTCTCGATACATCTATACTTTCGATGGGTGCGATTCTTGTATTATCAGCAACATGGCAGTTCTGTGTGAATAAAGACTGTGTGAATCATATCTGGTAACCTGAGTCTTTGTTGTCTGTGTGAGCCTGATTTAGATACAACTCACGATTACAAGTAACGTTGATCCCAAAAACAGCCATCCCTCGCATTCCCTGCCTTCCTAACAGAAAAGATGGTTGAAATGAGACTTGCTGTAGAACCTTTACGCCTGCACTCTTTAAGCCAACACCAGTTGCGACAGTAAAACCACATCTTTACAGGAGGTAGGAAAATGAGAAAAACTCTACATGTACTCACCCCGCCATGTTGTCAGTCTGAGCTGTAAGCTGGTCAGGTTAGTCAGTCACCCACCTGTTTTCCCGCCAAAACATTCCTGTCGTCTGCCGATCTGGTCATCACCCATCACGTCACGATCAGACGACATGCCGGCCAGCTCACCTGTTTTCCCGCCACAACATTCCTGCCGTCTGCCTTTGATTTTAGCTTGTTTACAAAATGTTTTTTTTTAATGTTGGCAGTCAATTTCTTTAATATCGCTTCATCAATTCAGCCTTCGGGCTGCGACTGCTGTGATACAGTTGACATCATAATAAACTATTCTACAATCTGGTCATCACGTCACAATCAGACGATATGCCGGCCGGCTCACCTGTTTTCCCGCCACAACATTCCTGTCGTCTGACAATCTGGTCATCACGTCACGATCAGACGATTTGCCGGCCGGCTCACCTGTTTTCCCGCCACAACATTCCTGTCGTCTGCCGACCTCTCGGTCATCACGTCACGTCGTGAGGTCACGACAGGACGCCATGTCGTGAGGAAGCACGAAGATGTCGCAGTCAACATTTTGAGGCGACAGCTGACGTCCATTTTCCATGGAACACGGCTCTGAGGTGATCTGAAGGTGACCCTGACGTCCACAACCCCGCCATGTTGGCGATTCGCGCTGTTGTTCTTCTCTGGGGCGTTATTGCCGCTGTTAGTGGAGATGTCGGCGGCGTACATGGCAACCGGAGCTCCGGGCAGCCCCCGGGCCGGCTGCCGCCTCTTCTGCGGCACGCAGGGCAGCCTGATCCCCGAGCAAACCCCAGGACAGGCCCGGTACCCACCACAGGCCTCAGGACTGGCCCAAGGAAAGGACCCAGAGCAGACCCCAGCTTCATGGCACAGCTCTTCCACCATCTAGCCGGAGCGGACGGGGCCAGGAAAGTCGGACCGGCTCCGTACGGCGCTACAACCATCCGCTTCTACCGCAGCCAAGGTAGGGTTTACTGTGCCGGCCTTATAGTTAGTTCCATATGTGTGTTTTCTAGCTTAGGCTTTGCTCAACATGTACGATATAAGATCTATTCTGCAGTGACAGTGTGTGCTTCATGTAACAGCCCACCCCCCATTCAGACATGATTCAACTCCAAGCAGATGTAGGAGGGTTATCATGCCAGTTTCTTCACCACTTGACCTCCAGGTTTCCGAAACTTCATGTCGTTCCCAGGCGGAGGCTTTACATTTATGACAGAACAGTTTTTTGCCGCCCGGCTATCCGTGTAGTGCGCGAAGTGGCGTGTTTACCGCAGTTTGTTTACCACGCTGCCATGGTAACCGTACGTGGCCCTGGGTTCTCCTTGTTCTGTGAACTGATGTAAAAGGAAACCTACCTAAGCATTAGATAGATATTAATATCATTCTAGAGTAGATATCAATTTGATATGTTGCACCTCTGAAGAACTTGCCATACATTGTTGTGCAATAAAGTTTGATTTGATGACGTTCTAATAAGCCGTAGTCTGGGCCTTACAAGGTCTGTACTAGTTCCTACTTCATCTTAATCCTGCAGTCCATGTTGTTAGTTATTGTCCTAGTTTATTATTGTGCTAAAATTGCACCGTTCTCGGTTCTATGGTGTTCTCGTCTCTTGTCATCAGTTGTATCTACGGCAGGGATTCCTGTTACAATGGTTTGAATAGCGCCTTGTCTATCAATATGAGTATCAGACAGAATCTTGCTCAAGTTATTCACTCACTCACTCACTCACTCACTCACTCACTCATTCATTCATTCATTCAATCATTCAATCATTCATTCATTTAACTTCATTAGACACTGAAAACATATCAGTACACGGGTCAACGAGGCAGTCGAAACTGGTAGTAGCTGACCCACAAATATAGACGTTATACAAACATGAAAAATAAAGAAATGTAACTATAAAATACAAAATCTTAAATAATGTTAACACCCTTAACTAGTGGCATTCATTCATTCATTCATTCATTCTTTCAGTCATGTGTGTATTGTCGCCCACAGAAACTGACGTCCCGTTCCACCTGCGCCACGAGAGCGGCGGTCTGGCCGTGTCCTTCAACGTCTCCAGTCTTCAAGACGCCGCCGTGGTGACGTCAGCCCAGCTGCGCGTCTTCAGACGGGCCCGGACGCCTTCCTCCTGCCGGCTGTACGTCTTCCGGGCGTCTCCGGACGGCTCGAGACGGCTGGTCAGCAGGAGGCGGCTTCCCGCCGGTTCCGCCGGCTGGGAGGAATTCGACGTCACCCAGAGTTTCAGTCGGCAGCAGCGGGACGACAGCGCCCCACAGCGGGATTACACAGAACTGCAGCGGGACGACAGCGCCCCACAGCGGGACGGCACAGAACTGCAGCGGGACGACAGCGCCCTCCAGCGGGATTACACAGTCCTGCAGCGGGACGACAGCGCCCTGCAGCGGGACGATACAGTACTGCAGCTGGTGCTAAAGTTTAAGTGCAGACACGAGGCCAGCGGAAACAGGACCGGGCCCAGGAACGCCACCCTCCCGTCCCTAGTCGGGCCGCGGAACGACACGCACCACCCGTCCCTGGTGCTGTACCTCCGGGAGAGCGAGGAGACC